GGTTGTTGCTGATGAGTCTGCTGACGGTGGGCATCTCCACTGGGTGACCCCCAGAGCTCCCACTGTACCCAAACACACATCCCTGGATAACACAGGGCTCGGGACTGAGCTGAAATGAACACCCCTGCTCTCATAGAACACAGTCAGAAACCATTATCTGAAGTATCATTTTTTGAATCTTCATAAGGAAGCAGGAAAAGCCAAGTGTTCTACTTTTAAGGATAGTTCTGTTGTGGGGGGGGAAAAAGAGTGGGCAGAAATTCAAAAGAATTTCATACTTTTACTCCCGTATTTAAAACACAAAATTATTTTTGCTTTTTTGTAAGTGAACATTCTCTTGATACCTGTGCATAATACTGATCTTAGTAACTTCCAGTCAGTAATGAAGGTTCCTTTTAAAATAACTTGTCTTTATAACCATAATCAGACAAAGAAAAAACCCTTATCTGGAAATTACATCCTAAATAATCCAAGAAGAAGCAGCTGAGAGACAGGACTGAAAGGCTGTCTTTTGACAAGAATTTGAAGTCCTTTTATTCATTGATAACAAAGCTTTCCTTACAGATAATTTCTGTTCCAACCCAGTACCTGGTTTTCAGCATTGTAACGTAATTTCACTGGGCACTGGGGTACAGTCGGACAAAGTATGATCCTGCCTCAGATATGGGGAGGATTTACTCAGAATGAGTTTGGTTTGGGGGTAGATTTCTTGGGAAAGGAGAATGGATGGAGTCCCAGATTGTACCATCACCATCAACAGGTCTTCTCTTCCTGGTTGAACTCTTTCTCCTCCCCCCCCCAAAAAAAAAGATAATGTGTGATTTTTTTTCATCTACATTGATTGTATTACTGTTATTCTTTATCACTCATAATAATGTGTAAGATGGGATGGGCAGAAATACAATGCCAGAGTCCATATCAAACCATAAGAAGCTGCAGTTTGAGGAGAACTGAGAATTTGCAAGGAATGACCTTCCACAATTACACTTCTCAGGTTGCTGCTGTGATGTGAAAGCCTTCTTGTTACACAACAGAAATTACACAGTTTAGACAAATATATAGCAATGGAACTACACCAAGATTTAATTAGGTCTCGTGATCCAGATCTTTGTAATTACTCGCTTCTTTCAATGTGATGAATTCACCTTTTTGGGCACAATCTTCCACTTTGATGTTAGTAAACCAAGGCCACTCATTTTATGTCTCTGTTGCATGCAGCTGAGTGTTCAGAGGCTTTGTAAAAGGAATGGAAGCTTGTTTAAATTAATGTACTTTCATGTTCTATCTTGAAGAAAATTAGAAGGTTTCTAGTGGTTATTCAGTGAAATTCCTCTTAGTACTTCTTTCTCTAACTTATGGTAGGTAAAAATAGTGAAGGACTATTACAGTAACTGGCTGATGGCTTAGAAACACTTGAAAAGTTACAAGTTGAAATGTTTACAGATGGAAATTTGCCATCTTTTTACAATATTGGCTGCAATATGTCTGGCACTTCAGAGCTGTCAATGACCAGAAATTAAGCAAGTGGTAAATATGATTGGAAATAGTAATCATCCATCATTTGTCTTTCCAGAGAAAAAAAAAGAAACGACAACTGCATTTAAATTCTTTAATTCCCATCATTTCCTAAATTAATGAACTTGAAAAAGTAATACTGAATATTTATCCTTTGTCCTTAGGAAAAAAAAAGAGAAACGGCAATTTTTAAAGTGTTCTCCTAAAGAAGACAACATAGTTGTATAAAAAATACTCAGTAAAATGTGATAAAACTAAATTAATCACATCTGTGTCTGTTCAGTTAATTTCCTGTTTGTTTGCAGTAAGTGGAGAGGGCATGAAATACTGTGAATTAGAAGTAATTTTGTAGGATAACAGCTAGTAAGTTAATAATGTGGATGTAGGGCTGGTTTAGGAGGTTTGTGGAGGGTTAGATGATGAATTGAGTGGCCAACAGTGGCCATAATCATTTTTATGTGTAGGTTCCAACTCCTCCATCATCAGTTTTTCTTCAGTCAGACTTCTTAAAAACAGAAATCTCCTTTGACTGGACAAATTTAGTAACATGTGAAAAACTGCTAACGGGATAAAAATAAGGGTATCTTACTGTAGACAAAATATCTGGAATTAAATGCCCTGATTAAAGAATGAGTCAGATAAGGTTTTTTATGAATTCAAGCTATTTTTTGGTAGCATTCTTTGGTTTCAAATCAAATTCTTCTGTGAGCTTCCATCATAAGGCACTTCTTGTGATGGCCTCAAAAATGACCTATATCTTGCAGACTTCTCTCTGGATTTTTATACTTTAGATCCTGTACTAATGAAATAGCCAAATGATTCTATTTTTTATTTATCAATTATTTCCTTATTGTAAAATCCATCCTAAACATAGCTAGTGTTTTTTTTTAATATAATCATCTACTTTAGCATTGTTGAGAGTAGCTTGGGTAGAGCAAGGAATGACCACAATAACTTTCATTCAGGCACACCATTTTAATTAATAATTGTAAATTGTACAAATTCAGTATTTTAGCTACAAAAGCAAATACAGTTCTCCATTTTTAAGGAGATAAGATATGTACAAAAAGATTATACCGTTTAAATTTTCCTATTTCATCATTTTATGGAAAGAAGGGAAAGCAAATTGCAAATATTTAAAAATGTCAAACTAATGGAGTTATAAATGATGAACAACTTGTAAGGAATGCAAAAGAAAGCCATAGTTTGCTGTGGGACTGTGAAAAAAGAACTGAATAATTCATCAGGATAGAGTAAATAAGAATATTTCCATGCAGCAGTTGCAGATTTGTTTATTGATCTACCTGGTATAAGTTGTTAAAAGATTCATTATTTAGTGCAAGGGAGAAAATGTAATATACCTAAAATACTGAAAATGCTTTATTTCTGATTTTGTAACTTCATTGCCCATCAGGGAAGAAAATCCCAGGGTAACATGAAAACAGAAAAATCCCCACAGTACATTGCATAATGAAGGGTGGAAGTTGAAGTTTCTGTAACACCCGAGACTGGACTATGCTGAAATGGCTGCAACTACAGAATTCTTACAATTATTAAGTAGTACCAGAAATGTCAGTACAACTGATCTGCTGTTGTGGCCTCATCCTGCCCTCCCTCCCTGCTCAGAAATGCAGGGGAGAGGTGGTTTTGCACAAGTATCTGTGAACTGGATGGTGTAATGGTCTCTCAAATAACCTGGTAAACAAATAATTAAACCCAACACAACGCAGTACCTCCCTGGGAATCCCTGGGGATTCACCCGTGGTCAGTGCTGGGTTCCTCTGGGATGAGTGCTATGGCAGATTCAGAAAAAGGAGAAAAAAAACCACCCAAATTTTAAAATTTTGAAAAACCCACCTCCATTGAGACAATTATGAAAATGTTATTTTTACGTATATTTCTTATAAAGCCCTCTTAGGACGTTTAATGGCTAACAGTTATAACTTTAACCCTTTTCTCCCCCTGTTTTGGGATAGTCGTTATTTCCTTCTCTCTCTGTTTTTTGAAGTGCTGAGTGTAATTTGCCATTTTACTTTTTTAAAGTCGTTTTCAAAGTGGGGAAGAGTGTGAACTCAGCAGGAGCAGGTCGCTAAATCCCTGTGGGAGCTCTGCATCCCCAGAGGTTATTCCCTCCTGGCAGAGACTTGGACCTGCTGGGACGTGTTTGTCCAGTGATTTGTTGGATTCTGTTCCAATGCATTGTGCTCCACTGGACATCCCACAGTGCACATTTCAAGGCCAGCAGAGGTGGGCTCAGCTTGGGCAGCACAGGGACATGTTGTTCATAACTTTGACTCTAAAACACAGTTTAAGCCATTGAAAAAGAAATAAATCTGTGGTAATTAACGGAATATTTCCTTTTTGCTTGGTTTAAAAAGGTCAGCCCTCCTTTGTGCCAGTTTTCAGGTCTTTCCAGCACTATTCCTTAACTTCCTAGCTAGTGTGCCAAACACCTGGAAATACAATTTGCATATCTGCATCTTTTGGACATCGAGTGTAAGCACACATGGAGTGATAATTTAATAAGCGTCACCATGTGTGTTCTGCAGGGCAGGTATTGGCAGGTCGTTAGTAACCTGCCAGTGGCTCCGAGTGTGTTTTGTGGGCTTGAGTACTTTCACAGAAGATTTTCAAGCCTTTATAGGTGATTCAGCCTCATGCCCTACAGAAACACATTGCAGGAAGGAAGACTGCTAGAAATTAAAAGTAATTGAGGTTCCAACACATGACAACAGAAGCAGTTTGGCTTCCCTTTTTGTATGACAATCTCCTGCTTTATAAATTGCCAGGAGCAATATTCTTTGATCGCTTATTCCAGCTGAAGGATTTGCAAAGGTAACCAATTTCATCCTCTGATTCACTCCTTAGAAATCCCTTTTTTCTTTTCCCTTCCAAAACCATAACCCAAATTCTTCTAATTTGTCATGGTGGTTATTTCTGGGGTTGGTAAAATCCATGGACATTACCAACAGAATTGTGAACATCTCTTCTTGTGCTGTTTGTAACAGAGTCCTGTTTTGGAGCTTGTTGTTGTGAGAGAATATTACAGTCCGATGAAATTATCTTTAGAGTGCTTGGAAATCGCTGATAAAATGCATAAATTACTTAGTTTATGCTGTATGTGTATCCTTGTGCATGTGTGAGGCTGTTTATACATGTAATACAAGAAAAAGTGTGCAAGTTACACTCACATTTGTGTATGTACACATACTCAGATGCAATATTTTTTAAAATTTAATCAGTCTGTCTAATGGATGCATGCAATCTCTGGCATCCTTGCCCTCATTTGTTATTTTCACAAATCATGATACTTGTATAGGTGATGACTAAACAATTGTAATTCACCTTCAGATGAAACAGTGACATAATGGCATACCCGGAGAATTACTTTCTGCGCTTTGGTCAGGTTTTGGGGTTTTTTGGGGAGGGGATTTAATGCCTACCAATGCAATGACAAAGGTTTATTTTCCCTTTGTTCTTTTCAGAGTGCTGCAGCAGCTCCCAGTCCAGTGCTAGGAAACATTCCCCCAGGAGATGGCATGCCAGTAGGTCCTGTACCACCGGGGTTTTTTCAGGTATTCAGAAAAAATTATGATTACAGGCATTTCAGGATAGAAAATCCTCTGTAATACTGTGTGCAAGTCTGTAGAAAAGATTCTTTCCTAAACTATGTCTCACTATATGGTGCAATATTTGAGTTTATTTTTAAACAAGAGTGAATAGGTGTAAAGGAAGGGACCTGACTGTAGTTTATGAATTAGTACAGCACAAGTCCTTTCAAGAATAAGAAATGGTGCCATTTTATGAGTAAGAGATTGAAAATGCTTGAGTGAGTATAATATTAAAATAATTTCTTATGATAATATACATGACATTACATGGAAATTTTAAAGTGAGAACGTTGTTGGTTGTGTTCAGCTCTGCGCTAAGCCACAGGCCAGATCTCTGAGGTCTTCAGGCTTCAGTGGGAATTAAGCCTGGGCAATCTCCTTGTGCGTTGAAGATCCCAACGCCAGTGCCCAAAAAAACAAGTCCAGGATTTATACCACGTGTTGCTTCTATTGCGTTTAGTGAAACTAAACACCTAGTGAGCATTTTGGGCACTGACAGTGCAGGATATTATGATGGAAAAAATGGCATCTTTTAATGCAAGGCCAACCTGATACTTGTAATCTGAGTCTGGACTGCTCCCAGGTTGAGGTTGTGTCTCCTCTTCACCAAAACTCGCTTGGTTTTCTCTATATTGGCAAACTAAGGCATGATTTTTGATACATGAATGAAAAGATACGTGCAAGTGAAGTGGAAAATATCTGACTGCTGCCAGTCACAAAATCCTCAGGAGTTGGCAGAACTGATTAATTAATTTATTTCTGCTTTTCCTGCCTTGAGCAGCTGGTTAGGTAGATTTTTTTTACACACAGTTTTATCTTAATTTTTAGATTGTATCAATACTTCACTTTTTTCTTTCTTTTTTTTTTTTTTTACTTCAGTCACCCACTCCAGTTGTGATGTCAAAGGAATTAACTTTTTTTCTGTTATTTTCTGGGGTGACATTTAAGAGGGGGAAAGGGCACCAATAGGACAAGTATGTGAAGTGCAGAGGAGAGAGTAACTATTTTAAAGGTTTTACAGGAGGAGGATGTGGGCGTTTTGTTTTTAGAAGCGTGAAAAGACTTCCAGCCACTCTAGATCTTTTAAAGATGTAAGAAAGACATGATGACAGAAAGTTAAGTGTGGGTAAAATTTCCTTGTCTGCCAGTACCTGGCTTGAGTCTTACTTGAAGCCACAACAGCAGCCTGCTCTTTTTGCAAGGCCTGGGATTGAAAATTAACATTTTTTTTCAAAATATTATTAATTTTTGCTGCAGTCATCTGCTTAAGAATACATGTAGGTTTGCAAATCCAAGTGCAGGTTTGATAGTGGGTGCATTGATATGGTTGGGAGCAATCCCACCAAGGGGAGCTGAGCCAAAATCCAGTCATTTACATTCCAGTGTGGTGGAAACTGTAAGGTATGTGTAAAGCTGATGAGCGCAGACAGCCCCTGACAAGGTGTGGTGGTGTTGGAGTGAGTGCTGTCAGGCAGCAGTTTAATACCAGATTGTGAAACCCTCAGTGGGAGCCGAGTCTCACCAAGGTCAGTTCATCTGACAAGAAAATGTATTGACAGATACAGCTCTGCCTTTGAAACCTGAAAATTGGGGAACATCATCTGCTGCCCTGAAACATAGGTGAAATCACAAACAAGGCAGAGAAACTCATGATGAAAACTTCCTACTGCCTTCGTAGGTACTGTTTTCCTTGTACACCTTTAATTAGACAGTGCATTTCTCTGTCCTGTCCTGCAGTTTCTCTGGTCCCATCTGGTCCTGAGAGGAACCAAACCACAGAAAACATCTTCATCTGCCTTGTTCTGAGTACTGACAAACTCCAGTCCTCTTTCACCAAGAGTTTGCAGTTCAGACCTGCAGCTTCCTCTTGGGTGATGAAGGCAAACAATTTTGTTCTTCAGGAGAGGGAAGATTAGGGGGAGAGTGGAGAGTGGTGCTTATGTCTATATTTAGTTCTCTGAGACTTTGCAATACAAAAGCATTGTAGCACTTCAACTTCTTTTCACCTAAAATTTATCTAGAAGGTCATCCTGGAACTATAAGGATGCCTTTTGTTGCTTTCATGAGCTGTTTGGATTGGCCTAAGCTGAGGCTGTTGACCAGCTCTGCTTGGAGAGCTCAGATAATATAATTTCTTTTCTCTTGGTTTTGCACTGAAACTGTGTTTCAAGTGGGCACAAACCACTCATGGTGATGTAACCAAACTGGAAGTCATGGCTGCTGCAATGGATTCTTATCAGGCAGGTCAGGGGAACATGGAAGTCCAGGCGGGGACTGTGCTGCAAACAAAGGATCATTACTGAGATTCCCTTAAGGCTGTCTCTGCTGACCATTAACACGATTTTTGAGAACTTTGTTTTTTTTTTTAAAGAAAAAAATCTTATTTTTTACAAAAGAAAATAAATATATTTTTATTTTATAAAATAATACAGTATGTTAGTGTAGCAGATGGAGGTAGCTAAATAAGGGAGAATTATGGTTTCTCAGACAGTATGTGGTAAAACTCTGCTCTTTCTAAAATGAGGTTTTCTTGCATATTTAGACCACTAGCACTGAAGTTAATTAACAACCTCTGGCATTTCATGCCTGGTCCACAGAGGTGGAGTTTCTGAAGCCATCAGCTGAATTTTTCTTGTGTCTCCATGTACCTGTACTTTTATACTTCAGTTCAGGTGATGGATGACGGTCACTACAGTGCTGACAGTCTGAAACAATGATACAGTGAAGGGAAGGTAGTGGAGTTGTGCAGTGCTATTTTCAACTAAATGACTTCTTTAGTTGAAGACTAAAGACTTTTTTAGTCTAAAAAAAAGAGAATTGTTTACAGTGTCAGAAGTTAAATTTGAGAAGTCAAGAAAACAGGTTTACAAGGAGTTAGGATGTGCCTCAATTTCCTCCTCTTATGTTGGGCTTTAATGTAATTTTAAATGTCATAGGTATGTATTTTTTGTCCTCATCTTCTTTTAGTCTGTACAGTAGTGAGACTCTGGAAATAAACAGGTGTGATACAATAACTGAACCTACTCTTGGTTCATTAGCAGCAAAACTTGAGTGTGCGGGACTGTAGGAGCAGTGAAGGCATTAGTTCTGCTGTACAACACTCTGAAACTCCAAATAGGAGAGCCCAAACAGTTACTTGGGCAATAGAAGTCGTACAACTGTATTAGATTGCATAAGATGATTTTACATATCTATGAAATGCTCATCTAACTCCAGCTTGAGTCTGGAAATCATTTTACCAGTTTTCCCTTAGACCACTTCCTGTCTATGGAGCTCAGGTGTGAGGAAGGCACTTCGCTACTGTGTTAGTAAAATAAAGTAATTTGGGACATTTTCTGTGTCAGTTTTTAGACATTTTTTACTCTGTGTCATTTGTAAGTTTCTTCATATGTCCAGCCATAGAGATCAACATGACCTGGTCTGTGTCCCTCTCTTTGGAGCCTGATCCTGACAGAGGGCAGCTGAAAAACTGAATAAAATTGTAATAAATAATTACCTTTGGGTCTGGGTATTAGTGGATGCATAAATTGTCACCAGCCAGCGCTTTACACAAGGCTCTTAAAAACTCCTTTGCAGTGAGGTAAATTCTTCCACCTGTGATCAGGGAGGATTAGGTCACAGAGTTCAAAGACTCTCAGATTTTCACATCCAGTCCTGCAGGTGCAAGCTGCCACTCTTCAGCAGTTTCCATGGATATTTCCATCCACCTTCATTGATCTTTCAAAGTCAGCAAAAAAACTTGAGAACAAGTTACATTTGGATTTTTTCAGAATATAATTTATATATATATATATATGGTTATTATATATATAAAAATAAATAAAAATAGTAAGCAAATAAACAGAGGCCAGAGGGAAGTTTTGGGGTGTGTGTTCACTGAAGTATTTTGAATTCTTAAAAAGAATGGAAAGTATTGATTTCTCAGGATTTTATTTGCCTTTTAGTTAATCTTCCAGTTTTAGCAGACCTAAATCATAGAATCATAGAATCAGACGGGTTGGGAAGGACCTCTGAGATCATCAAGTCCAACCCTTGATCCACTACCACCACAGTTGCTAGACCATGGCACTAAGTGCCACGTCCAGCCTCATCTTAAAAACCTCCAGGGACGGAGAATCCACCACTTCCCTGGGCAGCCCATTCCAATGCCTGATTACCCTCTCTGGAAAGAAATTCTTTCTAATATCTAACCTAAACCTCCCCTGGCGCAGCTTGAGGCCATGCCCTCTTGTCCTCCTGCTGATAGCCTGGGAGAAGAGACCAACCCCCACCTGGCTACAACCTCCTTTCAGGGAGTTGTAGAGAGTGATGAGGTCTCCCCTGAGCCTCCTCTTCTCCAGGCTAAACAGCCCCAGCAACCTCAGCCTCTCCTCACAGGGCTGGTGCTTCACCAGCCTTGTTGCCCTTCTCTGGACCTGCTCCAGCACCTCAATGTCCTTCCTGAACTGAGGGGTCCAGAACTGGACACAGCACTCCAGGTGTGGCCTCACCAGCGCTGAGTACAGGGGAAGAATCACTTCCCTGGTCCTGCTGGCCACACTGTTCCTGATCCAGGCCAGGATGCCATTGGCCTTCTTGGCCACCTGGGCACACTGCTGAGTTTAAAATAGAGTAGCATAGGATGGTTTGAAAGGGACTTTAAAGACCGTAGGGGGAAGCATGTTGTTTTATAAATTGACAGTTCACTTGTATAATTTGGTAATTTTGTTGAAAGTTAAGTTTACCACTGTCTGTACCTTTTCACATGCTTTTTCTTTTAAACTCATTAATTTTTAAGCAAATCTGTTAAAATTTGTTCTAGTTGAGTTTACCCACTAAATGTTCCATGATGCCTGTGTTTTCTAAAGGGATTTTAAAGTTTGCCTCATTCACCAATTTAAGATCATCAGATAAACTTGGAATGTCATGGAAAAGAAGTGTCGACACCATGTTTGAAATACAAATGTTACATATTTCTCTTATAT